AGTAAATTCAATGTAATGCAATGATTTAGGAGATCTCTCAGAGCCCCACCTCGACTTATTACAGATTGATTTGAAAGGAAGCAGAAATCAAAGGGCCAAAAACAGAAAGAGGAACATAATGTATTTTCTGACAGCCAAACTGAAAACACAATAACAGACATGATTATATAATGTGTGTAGATAGAACCTTCCAAAAAATACATTTTCAAGGTATCACCAGACACAAAAGGATATGTTGTATGCACATTTAAACCAATTTGTTTCCAGCAGAGATATTTTCTGAATGATCTTGTCAAATGAAATTGTAAGAAGATGTTGTTGTGTTTTGATAAAGTGTTCAGCTGCAGCATCTGAATCCTCAACCATCCCAATCAGTTTTCACAGACTCCGTACCTTCCATTTCTTTATTCCAATTATGAAACATTATACAAACATAATCAACGAAGACAAAGAAAAGGGAGACAAAACAAAGAGTAACAACAGAAGCTGGCTGTGTTTCAACTTTTTGATGCTGCTGTAAAATTGGAGTTCAACAATCAGAATCAGAAGTCCTTCCTGTTGTGGACTAAATACAATGCTGTTTGCAACATACTGTAGATCAAGTGAGGCTTTACAATAAATCACCCAGAACTAAAGTCTACTTGTGCAACAACTTCAACATTGTAATGCCTATATTATTACTAATTGTCAGGTTCATATCAGTATGTAGTGTCTCTACATGTCTCCATGCTTTAATGTTCAAAAAGCTCTTTATTTCTCTCATACTGCCTGTGCTGCAGCACCTCTTTTCACCCTCTGTCTGAAACCAGAGCCCAGTCTGCTCTGATTGGTTAGCTGGCCGGATCTGTTGTGATTGGTCAACCGTTTAGATATGTCCCGCCCCTTAGCCTATCACGTACAGTGCACAAACACCTATATAACGCACTACAGGAAACCCACAAAAAGCATAGACAAGTTTTAAGGTTTTCAATGAACATTAATAACATGGTTTGTTCAAAAATGGTTAATACATTAATTTATCTTAAAATAATTTCACACGATGTGCTGTTTCATTTTTTATGTGTTTTTGTTCATCAGTTTTTCACTCTTTAAATCACTAAAGTTCTGCTAATTGGTTCTACCAAAAAAGTTAAAGAGGGTCCATCCAAAAACAGCAGCAGGAGTTGCCGCATACAAAATATAAAATGTTCTTGCAAAATGATGACTGGCCAATGCAACCTTTTTTTAAAATCCTCTGAAAACAATACTTTATAAAAATCACGATTTTTATTAATCATTTATCACCATATTTCTTCAATACATTAGTTATTGGAACATTTAATGATGACATTAAAAAAATGTCACCCTTAGATTTACATTGGCATCATTTAGGTTGAGCAATAACTGAATAACGTTCTGAAACTATCATCATACGGAGGCACAGTCCAGCTTCCATATCTGTCAGTGGATATGTTTGCACTTTTACACCAGAGTCCTTTCCTTGAGCATTTTAAGTATGGATTTTAAGTACGCTCTTCCCACAACTGTAAAGGAAAGTAAAACTATACTTACCTTCAAAACCTCTCTTAAAGAGCACCTTCGGGGGAGAGCATTGCAAAACTGGCCCCGGTAATGGTACAAATCTCAACCTGTCGTTCAATGGACAGCTTCCCCCCCCCCCCCATCTATGTATATACTCGCATTTTAGACTCTGTTACTAACTGTATATCTGTAGACTTGGTATGTCTTAAATGTCCGGTTAGGATGTATTAGAACGAAATCTAAAATGAAAATGGTAAATAAGCAATCTGTATGTAAAAAACCACCTGTATGTAAATTGTAAATAAGCCATCTGTATGTCTTATGTCTTATATGTCTTAAATGACATGATGAATTGGAAATGGGGGACCCTGATGTAAACAAGACGAAAGTCTTTCTCTGGTCTGCATCCCCGTAACAATTGTATGTTTTGAGCTGTACTGTACTGTACCCAATATACAAGCTGTTAATAAACTTTTCAATCAATCAATTCAATCAATGGAGTGCGACTACACTGTGAATCTTCAGAGAGCCTTTTGAGCTGCACACGCTTTCCTATCTCTGCCTCTTTATTCGTCGTAACAGAGAACTAGCAATCACCTTCATCAAACGTTTTCTCGGCAACACAAAATAAATGTCATTGATGCCAAGAGCAACATTCTGTCACTGACAAAAACAGATGTCAGTAAACAACATACATTTGATCAGCTAAAGTAAACGTTAAAACCACTCAACCTGACGAGGGTGCAGACGATTTAAATACGCTCTGCAGGAAAGCCTTTGAGGTTGATTTTAACACACTGCAGAAAGGCAAACATGAACTCCTCTGTAGACATGAAGGGAAGTGCTGAAGGTTGAGCTCCAGAGCAGCTATTAAGGAGTTTATTAATTCATCATTTATTCAGGCGGCCCAGTGGAAGCTGTTTATGCTCACCAGCAGTGACAGGAACCTGTTTATTATCTACATGTTAACTAATTAACGTCCTTAGAGGTCCATTAAACTTTATTAACATCCATAAACCACAACTTGACTTGTGGTCTATTGTGAATACACAAGTTACACTTACTAGTTTTCAACAGCAGATACATTTTGGGGAAATGTATGATGTATTATTTAATCAATATATTGACAACATATTTGAATGAACGTATCAATGACAAAATCTTCAATGGCATCCTTTTGATTTGCTTTCCCAACAATATACGCTTTGACTGTAAAAACTAAAGCAGGATAACCCTTTCTATGGTTACCATTAGGCACTCACGTTTGGTTAAGTTCAGGGAAAGATGGCGGCATTGGCTAAACAAAAAATAAAAAAGCTGTAGTACTCTGCCGAATCCTCAACCTGCAATGACCTGTTTTGGTCACATGGGGGCAGCAGAAACAAGCTCACACTGACATATTGTTGGCTTATTTGGCTAGTTTTGATAGCACATATTTGTTAGTTTGCACATCCGGCAGATATGAAGCAGTATGAAAACACTTTTGGAGTCATGTTTGTGTCTCTCTGTTGAATTTAAGTCAAATATTTCAGTGTTGGCTTCCGCTATTGGAACATATCCCGGTCTTTTGCTGCAGAATGCCCAAGTATTTTCAATAGCTAGTTGCTAACTTTGTCTTTGTGCTTTGAGGCAGCTCCATAATCAGCGTTTAGTGAAATTATCTATTCTTTTATAAAGAATAATAGCTGCTTGCCTGCCTGAACAAAAATGGTGAGCTGTAAAACCAAAAATAATTGGCTGAAAAAATTAAGCTTTCCAAATATCTAAAGGGAACTACAGAGTTGGTGATGATTATTCTCTGCGAGATCATTTCACATCCATTGATCAATTGTTCTGATGGAAATATTGATTACAGCAGCTTTTGTTGACTAAACCTTACTATACGTGCAGTGGCGGCGCCAGAGTATTTTTGTTGGGTAATCTATGGTAGGGGCTCAAGTCAGTATTTGCAATGTAATTACATACACGCTATATCGCCCCCTTTGAGGTTTAGATTATTTCCCTGTCTCAATCAAAATGGAACTGTATGAAATAAAACGGCACATTTGTGTTGTAGTAAATAAAAAGGGATCACTGTGAGCGTGACGTATGATACATGGTACACGTTGAAGATCCAATGGGGATACTGAATGGTGGTTCCGATCAGTAATGCATGACGCAGACCCAACGTTTCGTTGCTCTGATTGGCAGTAGGTCTGACTCTATTCAAATTGCATTCGGAGGCATTATGATCTGACCGCGCTGATATTATAACGCCAGAGAATTTCCACACCTTTAGTGTATAAAACTCCCCCACTACTTAGACTATTCCTTGCACCCCTCTTCTAGCATAAGCCGAATGGTCTCCATATTGCATCTAGAGATGGCAAATCCGGATCATTTTATGGACTCGGAGTCTTCTGAGTCAATCATTGAAGAGATCCGGATCATACGAGTCATTTGAGTCATTTGAGTCATATGAGTCAGCATGACCAAGACCGTAGAAATCCTACCGGTGAAACCGAAAAGTTGTTGCATTTAACCAGCATATTAAACTAACGTTACATTAACCTCCGCTACACAGTGTCTTTTGCTTTAATAAAACGTGTGTGTGTGTGTGCATTTTAAAAAATAAGTGTTTTGCATTATATGTATATAGTTATTTTAATATGTTCCTGTACTTAAGCTAATTTTGCACAATTGTGTTTTCATTTAATAATAATAATAATAATAATAATAATAATAATAATAATTGTATAATTACATTTTATATATTCTAACTGTTTTGCAATTTTCTATCATTTGTTTCTTTTTGTGTGCCATGTTCAAAATAAACGAGTTTCCAAGTAAGATCCTTATTGGAAATGCAGATATTATTACAGGAGACTGTTGCACAACATGACCATTTTGTTAGAAGTCTACACTGAAACTTAATTTAGAGCCGGAAAAATCGCGGGATCCGTGAATCCAGGTCAATGATCGAGAGAGACCAGTAGCCTACGAGGACTCAGAGCCGTAACATATAGCAGGCAGCAGATCCAGAGATCCAGCAGACTCGTCCCCATGCACGAATCTACAGCAGACTCAGCCCCTCCTCCGGCTCGCACGGCTCCCGCGAGTCCCACGGCTCCCTCGACGAGTCGCAGCAGACTCAGAGATTTGCGGACTCACGGCTCACTCACGGCTCACTGCTCACTCACGGCTCACGGCTCACTCACGGCTCCCGCGAGTCCAACGACTCACGGCTCACTCACGGCTCACGGGACTCTCGCGGGAGCCGGAGGAGGGGCTGAATTTGCTGTTGATTCGTGCATGGCGACGAGTCTGCTGGATCTCTGGATACAACAACGTTGTAATGTGATTGTACACGTTATAAAGAGAGTAAAGAGTGACGCAATTTATAGTTTTAATTGTTACGTCACATCAGGTGTAGGACTCAAAGGACTCGGGTTAATCGAGAGGGAGACTCGTCACGACCGGCTCATTACTAGGATCCGGGTTAATGATCCGGATGAATCATGACTCGCCCATCTCTAATTGCATCAGTAACGTGCACTTGTTGTAACAGCAGGATCAGTTTGTGTGTTGTGGACACGACCCGTATATTTTCGCAAGCCGTGTTCTCAACATTTAGCATTTTGCTTATTATTTAATTTAATTGGCTTACTTTAACATCATTTTTCATGGTGGGGCTAAGGTGGGGCTAAGCCATTTCTTGGTATGGCTGAAGCTAACCCCAGCCATACCCTGGCGCCGCCACTGTATACGTGGGATCAGGATGCTAACTCAAATCTCCAGATTTACAATCCATTACAAAAACACCAATTGAAGAAAACATTGCCACTGATAATAATCCCTCCAAAGCATCTTTGCAAAATCAAATTGATGAAATATAAACGTGATTTCTGGGCGACTGGGTTGATCAGCAAACTGAAATAAACAAACAACCTTCATTCATTATTCACCAAAAGCAAAATATCAGTATCAGCAGTGATTCTTAATAATCAGAAAAATATGAAATGTGGACTCTGATAATGGATGCACATTATGGGTTCCTGTGCACAGACTTTTGAATGAGCGACAACCATACTGAAATAGCAGACCAGAGGAATTAAAGAGTCATTAGTCGTTTTGCCTCAAATTGTGGTGGTTTTGAGCGTCTATGTGTAATTTTGTCTTGTGTTTGTGTGATTTTAAGGTTGTTTTATGTCTCTTTGAGTGTCTTTGAAGCCTTTTTTGTGGCGCCTCGTGGTTTTGTAGTCTGGAGTTGTGCTTTTGACCCAGTAGGCCTTTTAAGTAATCAATGAATTCCTCTGATCACTAAACGCGCATTGCAATAAGCATTGATCTCTTTTTTTAAAGTGGCAGCACCATCATCTCTTGACCAGAGTAGATACCCCCCAAAAATACTTACAATTTGATTACTTTGATGATTCGTTACACAAGTAACACAAGTATACAGTTTACACCCAAAAGGCAGATGTACTTGAATGCAACAGTTGCCATGTTGAACTGGGAAAAGTATTTTTTTGATTTTGAGTCTTCCTCTCTGAGGTTGCTTGATTGGCAGAAACATCTAATAGCTCATCGAGTCTCTTTCATTTGGACGTGAACTCACATCCAGAGAACGTGAATGATTTCCAAAGTCTTATGTCCTCTCTCTGTTTGGATCCTTTCCCATCTATCTCCTTTCAACATTTTGGCAAGATGGAGCAGCAATGTTTTGATTATACAGTGACAACACTTTATGAAGAAGTCAGGATGCTTACAATCTTCTTTCCTTTCATTTTTTCTCACAGCGGAAACACAAGAAAGCCAGAAAATGTTGAGTACTGCCATCCGCCAACTAGGTTTCCCTTCTCCAGCTTTAAGTAGACTTTGTCTTCCTTTTCTAGATAAAGCAGAACTCCATTGGTGGCCGCTTCACGAGTTACGTCTTTGTCACCCGCAAAGGCAGAGATGACTGGTTTCCCATTCAACATCAAGTTCACCTGGTTAACAGAAATAACAGTTAGAAACCTTAAAATACTGAATAGTTTAAACTGTTTAACAAAGTTTACATCTTATTTGTAACATCTTAACCTCTTGTGCAAAACCCACCTACACAGTCACAGCTACTCATTATAACAAATACCTTTAAGGGGGCCATAGTATGCTTTTGGGTGTTTTTCCTTTCCTGTAGTATGTTATATCGTTGTTTGTGTATGTAAATGGTCTGCATTGGACTCCTTTGTTTACTTCAGTAACATAGTGACATCACTATGGAACACTCGCCCTAATATTGGCTAACGCTCCAACACATTGTGAGGGGTGGACCAATCACAACAGAGGCAGCCAGCTAACCAGTCAGAGCAGACTGGGCTCTGGTTTCAGACAGAGGGTGAAAAGAGGTGCTGCAGCACAGGCAGTATGAGAAAAAAAAGAGCTTTTTGAACATTAAAGCATGGAGACATGTCACAGGAGAGACACTATATACTAATATGAAATCTGAAAATGAGCAAAATATGTCCTCTTTAACGTATATCAGATTAAAAATGAGGTGTGTAGGGGTCTTTACTTTTTTTTTATTGAACGTAATGTTAAACCCACACCAAAATGTGCAAACAGTACCTAACAAATACATGTTATCCCTCTCTAATACTAAAACAGGTTAACAATGTAAACAATAACACATCTTTGTGACAAAATAATGTTTTCTTACCTGTATAGTTTGGCTCTGGTACACTTTAATAACATGGAAGTTAAAACTGTAGATTCCTGTTCTAGGGGACAAAAATACTGACTCAAATGTGAAGTAGTTTCCTATATTCACCAGAACCTATGAGAAAGAGAGAGGATGTAAGAAAACATTATGACAAAGGTGTTTATATAGCCAGCACTTCAGCAAAGGATTTTATTCAAGGAGGCTAGGATTACATGGAAACACAGGTTTCACAACGCTGCACACACACACCCTGAATGCAACACACTTCAAATGATATGACATTTTTCCTCTCAATGGATCAAAACCCCGCTTTGAACTTTCATACATACTCACACAAAACAATTCTAAATGATGCTCAATGACATTATTTAATAAAAATGTTCCAGTTTGGTGCAAGGAGAGGATTTTTCTTCTAAATCTTTTCAGGCTCTGTCTCATCAGTGTCAGCACTGATGAGACAGAGCCTGAACAGATGTAGAAGCTATTTGATCACTGCTTTTTCATCTAACCGAATTAATATTAGAGTGTTATGATATAATAAATAAATAAATGTTTCTTACTGTTGCTTGCAAACCCACTCTGAATATGTCACTATGCATTAAATGCTGTCTGAATGTCACTAAAAGGTTTTAAGCACCTATTAGATGACATACAAGATTTAAATTAACTCCTTTGGGTCCTGATTGATGGAGGCAGGAACTCCTCTACCTGCACATCTGAAGCACACCTGATAAAGTCACCACTGCAGCCTCCACCTTTGACAGGTGCTGCTTTCATAGCAACAGCGTGATGTGCACCAATCAGGTGACATGCACTGTGTCGACAGCAGAAGATATTATGAGGCTACAAATGAGAGGGCACTGCAGGGGATCAGGCAGTGATATTGTTACTAACACCTAACTCTGCCCACCGCTGTGTGACTAATCACATTCTTGTTGGCTTGATTTTTTTGGGGTGAGGGAGGGAGGAGGGAGTGTTGAAAGTGATGCTGTGTGTGTGTGTGTGTGTGTGTGTGTGTGTGTGTGTGTGTGTGTGTGTGTGTGTGTGGTGTGTGTGTGTGTGTGTGTGTGTGTGTGTGTGTGTGTGTGTGTGTGTGTGTGTGTGTGTGTGTGTGTGTGTGTGTGTGTGTGTGTGTGTGTGTGTGTGTGTGTGTGTGTGTGTGTGTGTGTGTGTGTGTGTGTGTGTGTGTGTGTGTGGTAGCTTGAAGCAAACTGGCTCTGCAGGATGCCAGCTCTCCAACATAATCCAGACACTTTCCAACATGCAAAAGCAGCCTACAACTAAACTCTGAGGTGCAGATATTCCACTCAAATCAGCACGAATCAAAACGGTTCTCCAGGATGAAGGTTTAGGACAAAAAACGCTAGACAACAATAAGGGTTTTGACAGATGGTAAATTATAGGGGAGTTGGGTTTTGTATGTGGGGATGCAATTTTATTTGATGACAGCCATTTTCATCAAACTTGTAAATTGTTAACATTAATGGATTTATAGTGGGGGGCTTTCTGCAAATGTTTTTGATTGATTTATTATTATTTATTTAGTATTCATCTTTATTTATTTGTATTATTGCATTTGTTTTGTTGTTGGAGAAAGTGACATCTGGTGTCATGTTGAAATGTTGAATGCAGAGTATTCATATCCCCACTCATTCAGTAAAGAAAAGGGGGAGGGGGGGGGGGGGGAATTAAGTGCTAAAAGCCAATTGAACCACTTTCTGACATTATAATGATAAAATCGTCCTAACCTGGTCGAAGTAGATTATTCTCGTTTTGTTGCTCATCTCCGACGGCTCGTGGTTGTTGCTCCGGACTGCAGAGAAAGCCACCTTGGAGTTGGCCGCGCGCACAGAGATGCCGAGCGGAGAGGACGAAGCCTTCCAGTCCGCGGTGGGGTTAGAGTCGCACACCACCAGACATTTCCCCTCCAGGACAATAGGCTCCGTGTCATTCTGAGCTATGGCCCCCTCAGAGAGCACAGTCCAGCTGAGCACCAGTATGAAATAGTTCACCATGGCTCCCTCTGCGCCTGATTCCGAAAAGAGAGAGCGTCTCATGTGCCACGCAAAGTTCCGAGTCCCTCCGGCTGGTTTCCCCCGCAGCAGACGCGTCTGACGCTGTGAAATTCTCTTACTGGATCCACATTTGTGCCATATCCAAATGAGATAAAAAATTAAAAATAACTAAGCCTTCTTTTGCAGAAAAAAGGGAATCAGAAATCACAGATTGTTGTCTATGCGTCTCATTTTTAGGTAGACTTTATTTTAAGCTAGTGACAAAAGTAGATAAATGTTTTGGAGAAGACTGCTCCAGTGTGAGAGGCGAATCTGTCCATAGCTCAGTCCCTCTCCGAATAACGCGTCTGACAGCAGCTGTTCCCCGCAGTGATGTGATGCGTGTGTGCGCACAGCCATCCACTTTACGCACGCACATGTAGAAGTTGCCATTAACTGCGTAATTCCCTAAAAGCCATATTTATCCTAAAAAACTTCAATTTTGGTATAGACTCATTAATTGTCGGTGTTCCGAATGGATATGATACAGGGGATATTCATTTCTAACTGTCTTTTTTTTCTCGGATGCAGCAAATCCACTAAATAATTATCTCCGGATATATTTTTCATGGTTTTCCAGACTGTAATGTAGAAGTATAGAACTGAAAATGCCCTCGAGCAAGAGTTTGAGTGTTTTCTACCACAGCTTCATGTCCACTGTGGCAGCAGGTAGTGACTCATCATAATCTCATTGCACAGGTGGGCAGAAAATGTTTCAGATTTAATTTACAGCTGCACATTCCTGTGGTGCTCAACAGAAGTCAGTGAGGGGAAGCCGTTTTCAGCCAGTACAACTGCTTTATCTTCAAATTCATTAATTTCATAATTTATTGGAGTATGATACATTTGATGTAGATTGTAATGTCATTGATTTTGGGATCTTTCATGGATTTATTTCTCAGCATTAACCACTGTAAGCATTTGTTACCTTATACTGAAAGTGTCGTCTTTTACTTTTTATCCTTTTTTAAAGTAATTCATACCTAACTTTTCTTGTATCATCTCTGTTTAAATGTTTTATTTATCTGTTAATTTATCTTGTGTTTATTGTCTGAGTAAATCACTTTATATTTAGTCTACTGCTGACAAATTATGTATATGTTATATGTATGTGTGTATTTGTGTATGTTCTCTATTACGTAAATACATTTGTGAATCCATGTGAAGTTAGATTTGTAACATTGAATAAATACACCATAAATTCCTTGTTTCTGCTTAGTGTTGTGAGCTATTCATTCAATTCAAAGGTTTATTTGTCACATAAACAAGGACCATAAGTAGTGAAATCCTATCGTGTCATGCTCTTGAGGTACTATAGCTTTGCAATAAATATAAAGAGTACAAAATTAAAGATATACAGACTTCAGAAGTTGTAATTAGGGGTATTGTCTGCTTTGTGCTATTAAACTGAAATAAGCCTGAATCCTGAAAAGCGTATTTGGTGTTAGGGATTAATTTGCTTTCTCATTAAATCCATGCTTATGATTGCAGCTTTTTGATCTTTGTGGCTGAACAACAACAAGTAGGTAGGTAGGTTACTATGATAGTTACTAATAGTAATAATAATAGTTACTAATAGTTACTACTAATCAGTGCTGGAATTGGGCCGGTACTCACCGGTACGCAGTACCGGCACTTCTGGTTCTGACCCATGGAGTACCGGCACTTCTTGCTCAGTACCGGCATGCTGGCGGTACTCCGGTACTCATGCACCGTGCCAGTACTCAACACTCTCCCGCCGTTCTTATTATACATCCATATATATATATACAGCCGCCCGGTACTCAGTAGATGCGTCATGAGGTGCCGAACGGACATTCTCATCGCTCTAACCGCTGGAGTTTCACAGCGGCTGTCAGCTGTTTACTCCTGTCATTCAAACAGAACGTGCTGGAGAGGGGGCGGGGCTTATCTTCTCCATGTAAATACTGTGGTGGAAACGACTATGTCAAAATTAACCTATTTGACCGTGATTTAATAGTAATACACGTTTCAAAATAATAATAATAATAATGCCGAAGTAACAACATACTGAAAACTGTTAGTAAAACCATGTTTTAATGCTTTACAATTTACATACCTAGATGCACGTGTGTTGTGTTTATGCAGTGCAACTCCCACCCAGTGGGTAGCTATGTAGAGTGATAGAACAGAGCAGGCACGCCCCCGAGAGAAGGAAAGCAAGTCACGTCACAAATTAGCATTTCTAAAATGTTAGCGTGGATTAATAAAAGTGCAAAAAGACAGCGGTTGTCGCCGGAAGAAACTTCAAATACAGAGAATGCTGTGCCTGTGTTGGAAATTGTGTCTGATGGGGAGCTTTCTTTGGTTGATCCTCCTGCTCCAAGTTCTAGTGCATTAGCATTAGCACTAGCTCCGCTGCCTCCTCCAGAGCCTCTAACGTTAGCTGCTGCTGGCTCAACTGCCACCACCAACACCGGGCAAAGCGATGCACCTGACTGCTGGACAACGGACCAGGTGCAATATTTTTGCAAGACCAATGCATGGCTCCTTCTTAAAGATAAGAAGCTAGGATGTCGGATATGCAGAGATGTCAAATCTTTGGGAATACACACTGGACAAGGACTGAAACTGTCAACTGAATGGGGTGAGTGTGCAGTGTCTCATTTCGGTGTTGACAAGGGCAAACAACAAGCTAGCCTGAGAAAAAAAATCAAAGAACATAAAGAATCACAAGCCCATGTAAAAGCTGCTGCCATCCTTACATCTGCTTCACGTGAAACTATTCAACATCAAGTGCAGTCTATGCATAAATCTGAATTAGACACCACTATCAGAGTTTTTCGAACGGCATATAAAATTGGCAAACATAGCCGGCCATTCACAGACATGCCAATTGATTTGAATGTACAGAAACTGAATGGGCTGAACGTGGGCAGGGTTTTGCACTCCAATAAAACCTGTGGCGAAATCATCGACCACATAGCTCATGAGCTGAAGAAAAAAATGGCAAAAGACATTACAGAAAACCAAAGAAAACTCTGTGTTTTGGTCGATGAATCTACCACTATTAGTGGTAAAACGGTGCTTGTTGTGTGTCTACGCTCAGCATTAGCTGATGCTGAGCCCGAAACGTTTTTTTGGGAGCTGATCGAGTTGGATGGAACAACGGCTGATGACATCACAAAGGCGTTAATGGAGTGTCTTGGAAGAGATTTTAACGAGGACTTTTTAGGTCAGTGTTTCGTTTCTTTTGCATGTGATGGGGCTTCAGTCATGCTAGGGAAGGAGAACAGGCGTTGCTACCCAGTTGTGTAGTAAATTCCCAAGCCTGTTTGTGTGGCACTGCTCCAATCATCGTCTAGAGCTGGCAGTTGGGGATGTGGTCAAGGAGGTCTCAGGGCTCAATCATTTCCAGATCTTTTTTGACAAACTCTATTCCTTGTTCCATGCCTCCCCCAAAAAATCAGAGGCAGTTAGCGCAGTGTGCGCAAGCAGTCGGACAGCGTCTCCTGGTGATAGGGCGTGTTTTGTCCATCCGCTGGGTGGCTTCAAGTGAAAGGAGCGTCAGAGCAGTCTGGGAAAACTACCGAGTGCTTCATGATCACTTCACAAATGCTGCAAACGACACGAGCAGGGATTCCAGAGACAGAGCAAAGTACAAGGGCCTGGATGATGTGCTCACATCTGCAACGTTTGTCAGCAATCTGGGACTGATGTACGATGCGCTCACAGAGCTCAGCGACCTCTCTCGGCAACTCCAAAAAAGAGAGATGACACTGCCTACAGCAGATAGGCTCTTAACTCGAGAAATACGAGTTTTTGAATCCATGGTCACCATGCCTGGCCCACACATGACTACAGTTCATACAGCTCTAGCTGAGAAGTCCTTCAAGGGTGTTGCCCTGCGTGAGAATGGCAGGCTTGTACAGATTCATGCAGGTCAGTTTTTCCGCAGTATGGTAGAGAATCTGAGACACAGAATGACTTCCACAACCTCCTCTCATGTCAGCACAAGAGAAATCCCATTACATGGCCGGGAGGCCCGGGACAATCAGCTAATCCAGGACATGAAAGTTATCCATCCTGGAAGTTGGCCTGAAGAGGAGTTAGACGTACAGTATGGGGACGTAGAGGTGCTACGTTTGTGCGAAGTGCTGAAAGTGGACAGAAGAGAGACTGTTCAGGGCTTTCGCGAATACAAGGAAACCAGGGCATCCGTACACCTCTTGCCATGGAGCCTCTACTGAAAGCAGTCCGAACCATCGCTGTCTCCACTAGTGAGTGTGAGCGGGCATTCAGCTGCATGAACGATATCCTTACTGCAAAAAGGAATGCTCTCTCTGTCAGCCGACTGTCCAGCCTGGTTTTCATTAAATGTAATGGACCATCACTAGGACAGTCAATCCGGAACAGTATGTGAGGTCCTGGCTGGCAAAGGGAAGGAGAAGTGCTGATGAAAGAGCCTGTCCAGCTCCAGCCCCTGATACTGATGTCCCCAAGGCCTTCTGGAGCCTTTCTAACAATGTGAAGTATATTGCAAAGCAGCTCACCCAGTGAGAAGACTTTTGGCATAATGTGCCGATTTGTACAGATCCTGGAGATAGAAGGACTTCAGACCAACCAGGGAGTTATCTGATCAGCTTGGTGTTCAATGTAACTCTTTACCATGGCTCAGACTTTGTTACTTGCAGTTACAGTTTCTCATTTTAGATTGTGCAAATTTTGCATTTGTTTTTACATGTTCTTTGTTCATGCTCTTTATCATTTTTCTGAGTTGGAAAGTTAGATTGCATCATAGTTTACTTTATACATATTTGTATTCTTCAGTGGTGAAGTATATTGCAAAGCAGCTCAGCCATGTGAGAAGACTTTTGGCACTTTTTCGTTTTTCGTTTTCTGAGTTGGAAAGTTAGATTGCATTCAAAATGTACAGAAATACTTAATTTTGTTAAAGCTTTTTATAAAAAATGCTTCTGACCAGAGCTTTGTTTCCTTGTCATTAATGTTGAACACCACCAGAGGGGCTCTCACCTGAAAGGTCTCTGCTTCATGTGTCTTCAGCAGAAGATCTAGACTTTGATTGCTATATTTTCAGTTAATATTGACCTACTGAGCTTTAGCCATATCCGCTGCCTATCATAAAAATGTTAAGTACAGTGAACCTTTCTAAAATATACAGTAGTAAAGAGACAACCCCACCAGCATTATAGTAGCCAAATTCTTGTTTGTGGGCTGTATATATAAAATTGACTTGAAAAAGTTGCTGATTTTAGAGTACTGGCACCTTTTTCATTCCAATTCAAGCACTGCTACTAATAGTAATTACTAATAGGTTACTCCGTTGAAAGTGA